GCAGATTACGGCCCTCCATATAGCTGCTCGCCAGGCCCCTAATGCCTGCCATGGGCCCCTATACCCGCCTCCTCTCATGTGGCTGCTGCCAAGTGTCCAGAGGTCTGTCCTGGGTCCCTGTACGGCCTCCCATTGCTGCAGTGTCTCCATCGCCACACTCCTCTGCCATGTGCCACTTTCAGGTCTGTCTCCCTCACACTGCTTGGTGTGTTCCATTTTTTTGACATTGGGTGCTGGCAGATTACGGCCTCCCATAAGCTGCTGCCAGGCCCCTAATCTGCCATGGGCCCCTGTAACCCGCCCGCCTCCTCATGCTGCTGCCAGGTCCACAGTGTCTCATGCCATGTGCCACTTTCAGGTCCTCCTCACACTGCTGCTGTGTGTTCAATTTTTTGACATAGGTTGCTGGCAGATTACGGGCCTCCTATAGCTGCTGCCAGCCCCTAATCTGAGCCATGAGGCCCCTATACCGCCTCCTCATGCTGCTGCCAGGTCCAGAAGTCTCTCATGGAGTCCCTGTACGGCCTCCAATTGCTGCTGTCTCCATCGCCACACTCTGCCATGTGCTCCACTTTCAGGTCTCCTCACACACTGCTGGTGTGTTGAATTTTTTTGACATAGGTGCTGGCAGATTACGGGCCTCCCATTGCTGCTGCCAGGCCCGTAATCTGCCATGGGCCCCCGTACCGTCTCCTCATGCTGTGACGTTGCAACAATGTGGAATTCAACCCTACATATGTTAGACCGCCTTTACGAAACAGCAAAAGGCCATCACAGATTTTCCTGATGTTAAAAGCGGATAAAGGTACTCCCTGTGTAACTTAGATGTCAGCCATTGGCAGCTCATGCGTGACACCTGCGCTTGCTCAGGCCCTTTGAGGAGGCCACGCTATTCGTGAGGTCGGCAGGACTAATGGGATGAACGACGTCATTCCTCTGTTGCACGTCCTGGAACAAATGCTGTTAACAATGGCTGGTCAGGGTGCGGTAGACGTGGCGCACAGATCTCAACTCCACATGACCCCTGTGGGGGGCAGGACAGGAAGAAGAGGAGAGGGTAGAGGAGACATTGGTGCTCAGAATTATTGAGTGAAATGGGTGGTTTTTTCCACTCAGCGGACAGGAGTGGAGGAGCAGGAGCATCTGGTAGAGGAGGAGGAAGAAGGAGACAGAGGACCCAGACGCACCGTGGCAGTATGCTGTGGAGATGGAGGCAGGGAGTCCCTCGCATTCCTTGGCACAAATGGCCCATAGCATGCACTCGGTTGCTTGCGTACCGACAGCCGAATAATAACCATCAACAGAGGGATGACTTTTGGCTGTCCACCTTGTTGGACCCTCGCTAACCTTCACAAAAATGGTGGCCTTTTCACACTGCTGAGAGGGAGGCCAAAATAACGTACTATAAAAACCACCTATGTAGTCAGCTGGTCTCTGCCTGTCTGCGCCAACGTCCATCTCCTCAGACACTGTGGGGTGGGCCCTGTGCGCTCGCGTTCTCGCTGCCATGGCAGCAGGGAGGGGTGTGGTGGTAGGAGCAGTGCAGCTCCACCAGCAGCAGCTGCCTCAGTCTGCAGTCGATGATGAGTAGCTTTTCTTCACCAGCGCAGTGAGGAAACTACTAACCAGCAGCCCGCAGCAGCGCAGCGCTCAGCAGCAAATCCCAAGGGGGTGGACCTGGAGCAGGACCTCAAACAACAGGCTTAGGCCCTACTTGGACAGCACCCTGCCAACCGAGGTAGACAATCCCCTTGACTACTGGGGTCAACGAAACTTGACCTTTGGCCCCAACTAGCTGAAATTTTGCCCTTGAAAGGCTGTCATCCCCGCGTCCAGTAGCGTGGCAAATCGAGCGCGTGTGTTAGTGCGGCAGAAGGTATTGCAACCTCCGCGGAGGACACGCACTGTCCCCACCCCAAAGTGTGGAGAGACTCACACGTTTGTGAAAATGAATCAGGCGTGATTAGTCTGGATTTCAAACCACCAGATTCCTGACACAACTGACTAAATCCGCCATGAATCATGCCACTCACTTTTCAGGTCTCCTCACACTGCTGGTGTGTTCCATTTTTTGTCATAGGGTGCTGGCAGATTAGGGGCCTCCCCATAGCTGCTGCCAGGCCCCAAATCTGCCATGGGGCCCCTGTAACCTAACCGCCTCCTCATGCTGCTGCCAGGTCCACAGTGTCTCATGCCATGTGCCACTTTCAGGTCTCCTCAAACTGCTGGTGTGTTTGAATTATTTTGACATAGGGTGCTGGCAGATTACGGGCCTCCCATAGCCTGCTGCCAGGCCCCTAATCTGCCATGGGCCCCTATAAACCGCCTCCACATGCTGCTGCCAGGTCCAGAGTCTCTTATGGGTCCCTGTACGGCCTCCCATTGCTGCTGTCTCCATCGCCACACTCTGCCATGTGCCACTTTCAGGTCTCCTCACACTGCTGGTGTGTTCCATTTTTTTGTCATAGGGTGCTGGCAGATTACGGGCCGCCTATAGCTTGCTGACAGGCCCCTAATCTGCCATGGGCCCCTGTACCGGCCTCCTCATGCTGCTGCCAGGTCCACAGTGTCTCGTGCCATGTGCCACTTTCAGGTCTCCTCACACTGCTGGTGTGTTTCAATTTTTTGACATAGGGTGCTGGCAGATTTACGGGCCTCCCCAATAGCTGCTGCCAGGCCCCCCTAATCTGCCATGGCCCCCTATACCGCCTCCTCATGCTGCTGCCAAGTCCAGAGTCTGTCCATGGGTCCCCTGTACGGCCTCCCATTGCTGCTGTCTCCATCGCCACACTCTGCCATGTGCCACTTTCAGGTCTCCTCACACTGCTGGTGTGTTGAATTTTTTGACATTGGTTGGCTGGCAGATTACGGGCCTCCCATAGCTGCTGCCAGGCCCCTAATCTGCCATGGGCCCCCGTACCGACTTCTCATGCTGCTGCCAGGCCCGTAATTCTGTCATGGGCCCCTGTTGTCGCTTGTTGGCATATTCCGCTCGTTCAGATGCTCCTTCTCCTGCTAACTCCTCTTCACGGATCTCCGTCAGCAGTCTTTCATGGAATCCCGTTTCCAAGAGACAACAGTTTGCGAGTCAACGCACCCGACGGTGCAGAAGCTGACGTCCTCCTGTCCAAGTTGCTGCTGCCATGCTCGTAATCTGTCATGCGCCCCTGTACCGCCTCCTCATGCTGCTGCCAGGTCCAGAGTGTGTCATGGGCCCCCGTACCGACTCCTCATGCTGCTGCCAGGCCCGTAATCTGTCATGGGCCCCTAATACCGCCTCCCCATGCTGCTGCCAGGTCCAGAGTGTGTCATGGGTCCCCTGTACGGCCTCCCATTGCTGCTAAGGCCAGGCCCGTAATCTGCCATGGGGGCCCCCGTACCAACTCCTCATGCTGCTTGCCAGGCCCGTAATCTGTCATGGGCCCCTGTACCGCCTCCTCATGCTGCTGCCAGGTCCAGAGTGTGTCATGGGTCCCTGTACGGCCTCCCATTGCTGCTGTCTCCATCGCCACACTCTGCCATGTGCCACTTTCAGGTCTCCTCCACGCTCCTGCTGGTTTCCATTTTTGTCATAGGTGCTGTATGGCCTCCCATTGCTGCTGCCTCCACCCGCCACACTGTGGCTCCACACTCTGGTTTTGGCCCCGTGACTGCCCAAATGAGTGAAGTGTGCGGTGATTCTAAGATCGACGGCACTCATCTGCATGTCATACTGACTGTCAGTATTATTTCTTCTTCCCCAGCAGACTTCAAGGGCATTTAAATTAAAGGGTACAGTGTTCTGCACTAATATAAAGTCTCTCTGAAGCCTAGAAACACCCTTTTATAAGTTAAAATTCGCAGCGAATATATTCGACTACTCGAATCGAAATTTTTCCACGAATTCGCCGAAATCAGTCGAATCGAATTTTTGAATACTTCGCTCATCTCTAATTACAATAGTACACACAATGGCTATGAATAAAAGCCATTGTTGACAACTGACAATGTTCTTTTTCACAGCGATCACATGGTACCAGCCAGTCACAGATTCATATTCCTCCCAGGATAACAGTGTTCCTGCCTCGGCCATATTTTTTTATATTTGGCCGGGTGGGAGGTGGTTAACCACTTCAATATTTGGCCACTTTCTCCCCCTTCCCTGCCCAGGCCAATTTTCGACTTTCAGCGCTGTTGCATTTTGGATAGCAATCGCGCAGTCATGCAACAGTGTACCCATATGAGATTTTTTATCTTTTTTTCACACAAATTAATATTTCTTTTGGTGGTATTTAATCACCACTGGGTTTTTCATTTTTTTCTTAATAAATGAAAAAAGACTGGAAAAGTTTGAAAAGAATTGTTTTTTCTTTTGTTTCTGTTACGTAATATTGCAAATAAATAATTGTTCTTCATAAATTTAGACCAAAATGTATTCTGCTACATTTCTATAGTGAAAAAACCCAAATCGGTGTTTATTATTTAGTCTGTAGGAAAGTGTTAAAGTCCACAGACTATGGTATAATTATCTGAACATTCATCAATCCTGATGTACTGATGTAAAACAGGAGCCAGGCGCTGTGTAAGTTTTTGTGATAAAAATAATACACCTTGTATGGAGGTGTTGCCTTTAAATAATTCATATGGTAAAAAAATAAATAACCAGCCTGTGGCTTTAGGAAGCCAGGTTCCAAGATGGACGGCCCATCCGCTTAGAGGGAAGCAGTGGAGTAGAATGCCTGTCAGTGCAGGGACCACGTGTAACCGACGTCCCAGCGTCCTGGATGAGGTCACCACGATGTGGAGAGACGGAGGGGGGGAACTCTTGCTGGAGCCGCAGCTTTAGAGGCCGGTTGCCAGGACAACATGTTTCGCGCGCATGCGCTTTGTCAAGTGCCTGATGATCGGTGCCCAGCAGTGCCACCCACCAGTTCCGCCCACCTGTGCCCAGCAGTGCACCCACCTGTGCCACCCAGCAGTGCCACACACCTGTGCTCAGAAGTGCCACCTACCTGTGCCCACCCACCAGTGCCACCCACCTGTGCCCACCAGTGCCACCCACCATTGCCCATCAGTGCAGCCCAGCAGTGCTGCCAGTCAGTGCCACCAGTCAGTGCCAGGTGTGGTTGTGCTAGTCAATGCCTAGCAGTGCCGGCAGTCAGTGCCCAGCAGTGATGCCAGTCAGTGCCACCTATCAGTGCTGTCTATCAGTGCCACCTATCAGTGCCGCCTATCCGTGACACCTCATTAGTGCTGCCTATCCGTGCCACCTCATTAGTGCTGCTATCCGTGACACCTCATTAGTGCTGCCTATCAGTGCCGCCTATCCGTGCCACCTCATTAGTGCTGCCTATCAGTGCTGCCTATCCGTGCCACCTCATTAGTGCTGCCTATCAGTGCCGCCTATCCGTGCCACCTCATTAGTGCTGCCTATTAGTGCTGCCTATCAGTTCCCATCAGTGCTGCCTATCAGTGCCCATCAGTGCCGCCTATTAGTACCCATCAGTGCTACCTCATCAATGCACATTAGTGAGCAATTGTCATTCAAAATGCGACAGCGCTGAAAGCTGAAAATTGGCCTGGTAAAGAAGGGGTATAAGTGCCCGGTAGGCAAGTGGTTAAACCCTTGTTAGGCTGTTTGTTTTTAAACTAGCCAGCAAAAAAAACAAAAAACAAAACCACGGTGGATTTGCGTTAAATACTGAGGTTTTGGCTGCGCAAGATTTGTAATTATATGAAGAAGCTGCACTGCCTTGTCAGGGCCCCTCTTTATAGCGTGGACCTAACTCTATTCTATGAGGGTCTCCATATGTTGGAGTATCTGCATCCAATTGTCCCATTGGGGATTTTGATCTTCACTTCCTGTTCTGTAAACACAGTAGGAAATGAGAAGTAATCTCTTCAAAATGTAAGAAATCTCTCATTTCACAGTACTGTATTATATTATGGCTGTATCTTCTAAAGCAGAAGTTTTAAATAGAATTTGAATGTTACGTAACACTAAAAAGCGACAAGTGGGAAGTCAGTGAGTGTGATATACAAAATAGGAACTGACACAACTTCCCATTCTCTCACTTTACTGTCATGCTTTTATTGACTGCACCCTTTGTTATCAACATTTACAGTACATCCAGAAAGTATTCACAGCACTTAATGTTTGCCACATTTTGTTGTTACAGCCTTATTCCAAAATGAATTAAATTCATTTTTTTCCTCAACATTCTACAAACAATACCCCATAATGACAACATGAAAGAAGTTTGTTTTGAAATCTTTGCAATGTGGTAAAAATATAAAACGAAAAAAAAAAACACATGTACATACATATTCACAGTCTTTGCTCAATACTTTGTTGAAGCACCTTTAGCACCAATTACAGCCTCAAGTCGTGTTGAGTGTGATGCTACAATCTTGGCACACCATTTTTTGGGCAATTTCTCCCATTCTTCTTTGCAGTACCTCTCAAAGCTCCATCAGGTTGGATGGGGAGCGTCAGTACACAGCCATTTTCAGATCTAGAGATGTTCAAGTCTGGGCTCTGGCTGGGTCACTCCAGGACATTCACTGAGTTGGCCCGTAGCCACTCCTTTGTTATGTGGGCTATGTGCTTAGGGTCGTTGTCCTGTTGAAAGATGAACCGTCACCCCAGTCTAAGGTCAAGAGCGCTCTGGAACAGGTTTTCATCAAGCATGTCTCTGTACATTTGAACGAAGGTAATATGGTGCAGCGCTAAAAGAATGAAACTGAAAACAATCAAAAGTCAATGTAATAATATCCGTGGTTTCTTATAGAGGGTGCAAACTTCCAAAGCTCTTGCGGCCTTAAATAATAGCAATGTGCACTCACCAGAAACGCATGGGTTATGCGCATGTAGGAATAATCATTCCAGATGTCAGATCATCCAACATTCAGATGGCGAGCATCCCTCTCACGGTGGGTCACCGAAGACTCAAAGCCGGATCCTGAGGTCCCCTTTAAGGTCAATCAGGCACTTCACATTGGTGGTGAGACTCTCTCCTTTGAATGGTAGTGGCACCTTTTCTGTGGGGGTAGTAGCTCCACAAAGGAGCCCCAGAAAGAACACAGGTGCCAGAGATAGTGTAGTATGTTTAAGAAGATTTATTTGCCTTAGCATAAAATACAGGGTAGCATGCAGATCCAGACCCATAAAGGTTAAATAAGGATAAGGTAGCAATAACTGACCCTAGTAAAGATGTCCGCCGAGCCTCCTCGTGGCTCCGGCGGTGCGAATGACGTCACGCTCTGCCTTTCATTCGCACCTCCGGAGCCACTAGGAGGCTCGGCGGACATCTTTACTAGGGTCAGTTTATTGCTACCTTATCCTTATTTAACCTTTATGGGTCTGGATCTGCATGCTACCCTGTATTTTATGCTAAGGCAAATAAATCTTCTTAAACATACTACACTATCTCTGGCACCTGTGTTCTTTCTGGGGCTCCTTTGTGGAGCTACTACCCCCACAGAAAAGGTGCCACTACCATTCAAAGGAGAGAGTCTCACCACCAATGTGAAGTGCCTGATTGACCTTAAAGGGGACCTCAGGATCTGGCTTTGAGTCTTCGGTGACCCACCGTGAGAGGGATGCTCGCCATCTGAATGTTGGATGATCTGACATCTGGAATGATTATTCCTACATGCGCATAACCCATGCGTTTCTGGTGAGTGCGCATTGCTATTATTTAAGGCCGCAAGAGCTTTGGAAGTTTGCACCCTCTATAAGAAACCACGGATATTATTACATTGACTTTTGATTGTTTTCAGTTTCATTCTTTTAGCGCTGCACCATATTACCTTCGTTCATATTTACATTTAAAGGCATTGTGGTTGCCTTAGGTGCTCTAGCTGCTGTGTTTATATAAGAGCGCTCACTATTATCTACTTTTGTCGTATGTCTCTGTACATTGCTGCATTCATCTTTCCTTCTATCCTGACTAGTCTCCCAGTTCCTGCCACTGGAATACATCCGCACAGCATGATGCTGCCACCACCATGCTTCACTGTAATGATGGTTTTGGCCAGGTGGTGAGCAGTGCCTGGTTTCCTCCAGAAATGACGCTTGGCATTCAGGCCAAACAGTTCAATCTTTGTTTCATCAGACCAGAGAGTTTTGTTTCTCATGGCCTGAGAGTCCCTCAAGTGCCTTTTGGCAAACTCCAGGCGGGCTGCCGTTTCCTCAACATTCTACAAACAATTCCTCATAATGACAACATGAAAGAAGTTCATTTTGAAATCTTTGCAATCTATTAAAAATTAAAAAATGAAAAAAAAACCCTACATGTACATAAGTATTCACTGCCTTTGCTCAATACTTTGTTGAAGCACCTTTAGCACCAATTACAGCCTCAAGTAATTTTGAGTATGATGCTACAAGCTCCATCAGGCTGGATGGGGAGCATCAGTGCACAGCCATTTTCAGATCTCTCCAGAGATGTTCAATCGGGTTCAAGTCTGAGCTCTGGCTGGTCCACTCCAGGACATTCACAGAGTTGGCCTGTAGCCACTCCTTTGTTATGTGGGCTTTGTGCTTAGGGTCATTGTCCTGTTGAAAGATGAACCATCACGCCAGTCTAAGGTCCAGAGCGCTCTGGAACAGGTTTTCATCAAGGATATCTCTGTACATTGCTGAATTCATCTTTCCTTCGATCCTGATTAGTCTCATAGTTCCTGCTGTTGAAAAACATCCCCACAGCATGATGCTGCCACAACCATGTTTCACTAATGATGGTTTTGGCCAAGTGGTGAGCGGTGCCTGATTTCCTCCAGACTTGACTCTTGGCATTCAGGCCAAAGAGTTCAATCTTTGTTTCATCAGGCCAGAGAGTTTTGTTTCTCATGGTCTGAGAGTCCCTCAGGTGCCTTTTGGCAAACTCCAGGCGGGCTGCCATTTGCCTTTTACTGAGGAGTGGCTTCTGTCTGGCCACTCTACCATACAGTCCTAATTGGTGGAGTGCTGCAGAGATGGTTGTTCTTCTGGAAGGTTCTCCTCTCTCAACAGAGAAACGCTGGAGCTCTTTCAGAGTGACCATCGGGTGCTTGGTTACCTCCCTGGCTAAGGACCTTCTACTGCAATTGCTCATTTTGGCTGGGCGACCCACTCTAGGAGGATTCCTGGTGGTTCCAAACTTCTTCCATTTATGGATGATGGAGACCACTGTGCTCATTGGAACCTTCAATGAGGCTGCAGAAATTTTTCTGTACCCTTCCTCAGCTCTGTGCCTTGATACAATCCTGTCTCAGAGGTCTACTGACAATTCCTTGGACGTCATGGCTTGGTTTGTGCTCTGACATACACTGTTAACTGTGAGACCTTATACAGACAGGTTTATGCCTTTCCTAAACATGTCCAATCAACTGAATTTCCCACAGGTGGACACCAATCAAGTTGTGAAAACATCTCAAAGATGATCAGTGGGAACAGGATGCACCAGAGCTCAATGTTGAGTGTCACAGGCTGTGAATACTTATGTACATGTGTTTTTTTTTTCTTTTTAATAAATTGCAAAGATTTCAAAACGATCTTCTTTCATGTTGTCATTATGGGGTATTGTTTGTAGAATGTTGAGCAAAAAAATGAATTTAATCCATTTTGGAATAAGGCTGTAACATAATAAAATGTGGCAAAAGTTAAGCGCTGTGAATACTTTCTGGATGCACTGTACAGGAATACCTGAATGTGTTCCTATGAATGTGTTCCTATGTATCTAACAGTATATATAGAGATAAGTGTGTGTGTGTATATATATATATATATATATATATATATATATATATATATATATAGTAAATACTTGGATTGCGAGTAACTTGGTCTGCAAGTGTTTTGCAAGACGAGCAAACATTTTTTAGAAATTTTAACTTGATAATCGAGCGAGGTCTTACAATATGAGTAGTGCATACGTTTGCCAAGCGTCATGTCACAACTGAGCCAATGGTTGTTCTCTCGCTTTCTCGCTGCGGGATTGTGGATAATCGTCTCCCAGTCTCAGTCAGTGTGCCTCACTCACCTCTGTACTGCAACAATGGCCCCAATGAAGAAAAAAAAAGGTAGAAAATGAAGGCAGTAAGAAGAAGGAGATCATTACGGTGGAAGTTAAAAAGGAAATCATCAATCATGAACAAGGTATGCGAGTGGCTGACATCGCAAGATTGTATAACAAGTCTACATCAACAATTTGCACAATATTAAAGAAGAAATAAGGGGGCTAGATGCAGCAAAAAGAGTCACAAGAGTATCAAAGCGATGGCCATGTGTTCTGGAAGATGTAGAAAAGTTGCTTCTCGTTTGGATAAACGAGATGCAACTAGCAGGTGATCCTGTGTCTGAGAACATTATCTGTGA